GGTCCTCCACCTGTTCACCATAAACTCTGGGGTCCTCCACCTGTTCACCATAAACTCTGGGGTCCTCCCCCTGTTCATCATAAACTCTGGGGTCCTCCAGCTGTTCACCATAAACTCTGGGGTCCTCCACCTGTTCATCATAAACTCTGGGGTCCTCCACCTGTTCATCATAAACTCTGGGGTCCTCCACCTGTTCATCATAAACTCTGGGGTCCTCCACCTGTTCACCATAAACTCTGGGGTCCTCCACCTGTTCATCATAAACTCTGGGGTCCTCCAGCTGTTCATCATAAACTCTGGGGTCCTCCACCTGTTCATCATAAACTCTGGGGTCCTCCACCTGTTCATCATAAACTCTGGGGTCCTCCACCTGTTCACCATAAACTCTGGGGTCCTCCAGCTGTTCATCATAAACTCTGGGGTCCTCCACCTGTTCATCATAAACTCTGGGGTCCTCCACCTGTTCATCATAAACTCTGGGGTCCTCCAGCTGTTCACCATAAACTCTGGGGTCCTCCACCTGTTCATCATAAACTCTGGGGTCCTCCAGCTGTTCATCATAAACTCTGGGGTCCTCCACCTGTTCATCATAAACTCTGGGGTCCTCCACCTGTTCACCATAAACTCTGGGGTCCTCCACCTGTTCACCCTGCTGTTCATCTAGTCCAGGGGTCGGCAACCCCTGGCACCGTAACCAGTGGCACACTAGGAATAAGTGGAATAAGTGTGCAAAATATTTTAATTGTATTTTTGGATTCTGAACGCGACCGCCGCCAGAGCGCGTCTCCCCGTTACCTGCAGAAGGAAGCCATGCACGCAGCGCAGCCCCGCTCTCTTTAACTCCAGGTGACTTTCTGCCGCTTTCCTCCGTGGTGCATGGATATAAAACATTCATAGTTTATTAAATGAACATGCCCTCAGACACTGTTTCCTGCAAGATGTTGCGGCAGTGCCCCGGTACCGGGGTCTCTCGGGCTTAACAGGTTAAATGACTGGAGAGAGGCGAGCTCTTCTTGGGAGGCCGTTGCATTTATTTATCTGTTCTTCTGTTTCACAAAATACATCACAGACCTCTGTTTTTCTGCTGCCTCGTTTCACTTCCAGAAATATACACACGCTCGCTCACTGTCGCTCTACCATTCACACACATGCACATACACACACCCCCCTCTCTCTCTCTCAAAGGGACAGCGATCTCATCTCACTCTGCATGACCCTAATATCATAACATGTGTGTTCTGGAGAATCACAGAACGGACCATCGTCCTTATTATTATGCCGTTTAAACCAATTATTTAAATGTGTTTGTTAAATTCGGCATTATGTAAGTTGCTGACAGCACACACTGCTTCCCCGCAGCGAGGCCCCCCCCACCCCCCCGTTGATAATTCACGATTGTCGGCACGCTGATAACAATTGTTTTTGTAATGGCACTTCATATCAAAAAGATTGCCGACCCCTGATTTAGTCTATAACTGCTTGTCTTTGTCTAAGTACCGTATTGACCCGAATATAAAACAAATCTGATAAAGAGGGTCGTCTTATATTCGGGGTCTAGACTTTTCGATGTAAGTACACAGTCACAACACCAGATGGCGCCAAACGAGTGTTCCCCCAGCGAGACACCGTCTTAAAGTAACAGTACACACTACAGTTGTATTGACCTACAGTTGTATTGCAATCTAGCCTGTTTAGTTTTTGTTCGCCAAGTCAGGCACATTTGAATACAATGTGTGATATCATTATTTTCAAATAAAAATGTTTTCTTTATAAAAGGTATTTTTCTAAAAATGAGTCTTGAAAAAGAGGGTCGTCTTATATTCGGGTTAATACGGTACTCAATGAAGCTGAATGTGAATGTCTCACCTGGGGGGCTGAATCCTGCAGGGGGGGGGGGCTCTGTCTGCAGCTCTGAGGTGGGGGGGGGGGAGCAGCCCAGCACCCCCCCCTCCCCCCCGTCTGCACCCCGTCATGCAGCCCGCTCTGACGCGAGGGGGGGGCAGCCGGGGTCACCTGCTCCAGGGGGGGGGGGCTTTTCCTCAAAGGGGGGGGGCTCTTCCTCAGGGGCTCCAGGCTGGAGCTGCTGCTACCTGCAGGGGGAGGGGGTCATCATCAGTATCATCATGGAAACAAGACCAACCGACCGACCGACCGGCCGGCCGACCGACCGACCGGCCGGCCGACCGACCGGCCGGCCAAACATCAAAGCAACCAACCAACCAACCAACCAACCAACCAACCAACCAACCATCAAAGCAACCAACCAACCAACCAACCAACCAACCAAACATCAAAACATCAAAACATCAAAACAACCAACCAACCAACCAACCAACCAACCAACCAACCATCAAAACATCAAAACAACCAACCAACCAACCAACCATCCAACCAACCAACCATCCAACCAACCAACCAACCAACCAACCCAGGGTTCCTGCAGGTTTCGCCAACTCAAATTTAAGACTTTTTAAGACCACTTTCAATAGAATTTAAGACCTATTTCATGTTCATTCATGTTCAACATAAGAACAATGACTGAACATAACAACATAACAGTACAAAACTGTGTTAGCGTGTTAGACAAAAAAGTGTGTATGTGTGTGTCTGTGTGTGCTCGTGCGTCATTTCGTCCGCGCACATTTTTCAGGGCAATCTCTATTGGGCTCAGGGCCATCTGTAAATTAGCTTAGATGGCCCACTGGTGTGTGAGAGTGACAAGAGCTATATTCAGAGCTCTGCTGCCTTGGCTACAATCTTTCATCGTTGCTGTTGTATGACAAAAACAAACGCAAATACAATACAAATTGTTGGGGGGAACTGAAAGGCTGTTACCGTACTGGTTACTTTGCAGCCGGGACATTTCCCCCAAAACACATTAATGGCGCATTTCCACTACACGGCCTCGCTCGGCCTCGCTCGGTATGGCTAGGCCTCGTTAGGACTGGCTCACTTTATGGCGCATTTCCATTACAGTTTAGGAACTGGGGTAGTAACTATAGTAACGCAGTGTAGGCGGAGCCGTGACGTCATCTTCAATGAGAACCCCAGAAAAACAACACAGCCGTTAGCTGTTAGCACTCAGAGCTCACAGCTCCTCATATATGTTCAGAAACTAGACAAAAGTTAAACAAGTACAAACCACAGACTGCCTGTGTCATGGTGAATACAGTCGCTGCTTTATTTATGTCTGTATAGGCCGTTGTTGTGAGTGTGGACGGTCGGAGCATATACTGCGTTAGCTTAGCCAATCTCCATTTAGAAAACACGCATTTTAAAAGGTGTTTCGCCTGCCGTCTGTCTGCAGACTTGACAAAGCATTAATTCATGGTTTTTACTAACCGGTATCAGTATGTTGTTACTTCATCATTTTGAAACGTGTATTACAATTAAATCACGGTCAAATATGTCCATCTTGTTGTAGTTGTAGCCCCCTTGCCAGCGACGCTCTCTCTAGTTTATCATACTCAGCCCGACTCAGCCTTGTTGTCTCTGGCCCTAGAACCACGATTTTATGAGGCCAGAAAAACTGTGAATCAGGACCCGCCGGCCGGTACTAGGCCAAGTGGAAACGCAACCAAAGACGGGCCGCTGACGTCACAGCCCTCTGAAACGGGGCTCCGCGCTGCAGTGGAAACGCGCCATTAGACGCGATCGCAACACAGAAGTACCTTTCAAATCCCATCATTTTTAAGACCTTCTAAATCATATTTAAGACCTTTCTTAATTTTTTGGTCATATTTAAGACCTTTTTAAGACCTTTAATTCAGATTATCACATTTAAGACTTTTTAAGACTCTTTAAGACCCCGCGGGAACCCTGCCAACCAACCAACCAACCAACCAACCAACCATGCACAGCAGATATCAAACCAACCCTCCAGCCTCCCTGGGGTAACAGTCATATTCTTATAGGAGCGGTGTGGCCCACTGCAGGTTGTTGTTTATCTGGCACTGAGGGGGATAAACAACAAAGTGAACCACAATCAAAGAGAACTCACCTACAGCGACAGGGGGGTCCCAGTGGTGTGAGCTGGCTGTAGGAGGGGGGGGGGCTCTGGTGAAGAGGCCATAGGACCCTGCAGACTGGAGGGGGGCCGGGGGGGCGGAGGAGGAGCTGATGGACGACTGAGGGGAGGACATTATTACTGCCTTTTGTGTGTGTGTGTGTGTGTGTGTGTGTGTGTGTGTGTGTGTGTGTGTGTGTGTGTGTGTGTGTGTGTGTGGTGTGTGTGTGTGTGTGTGTGTGTGTGTGTGTGTGTGTGTGTGTGTGTGTGTGTGTGTGTGTGTGTGTGTGTGTGTGTGTGTGTACCTGTACGATAGCAGGGTCCTGCAGGCAGCTTGATGGTTGTGGAGGTTCACAAACTGTCAGATCTCTGATGTCACTTCCTCTGAAGATGATGAACTCAAAGATGTCGTCTCGGGGGGGAAACGGTCTGTCTGTGGGCCGGTCCTCTGTTCCAAAGGAGCGCACTGACCAATATATATTATGTATTAGTACCTTTACTCAGAGCCACGGTAGAGTTCTCAGTATCAATGGTTATATAGTATGTATATAGTGTGTATACAGTGTATTTAAAGTGTATACAGTGTGTATTAGTACCTTTACTCAGGGCCACGGTAGACTTCTCAGTATCGATGGTTATATAGTATGTATATAGTGTGTATACAGTGTATATAAAGTATATAGAGTGTGCATAAAGTGTGTATTAGTACCTTTACTCAGGGCCACGGTAGAGTTCTCAGTATCGATGATTATATAGTATGTATATAGTGTGTATACAGTGTATTTAAAGTGTATACAGTGTGTATAAAGTGTGTATTAGTACCTTTACTCAGGGCCACGGTAGACTTCTCAGTATCGATGGTTATATAGTATGTATATAGTGTGTTTAAAGTGTATACAGTGTATTTAAAGTGTATACAGTGTGTATTAGTACCTTTACTCAGGGCCACGGTAGAGTTCTCAGTATCGATGGTTATATAGTATGTATACAGTGTGTATACAGTGTGTATACAGTGTATTCAAAGTGTATACAGTGTGTATAAAGTGTGTATTAGTACCTTTACTCAGGGCCACAGTAGAGTTCTCAGTATCGATGATTATATAGTATGTATATAGTGTGTATACAGTGTATTTAAAGTGTATACAGTGTGTATAAAGTGTGTATTAGTACCTTTACTCAGGGCCACAGTAGAGTTCTCAGTATCGATGGTTATATAGTATGTATACAGTGTGTATACAGTGTGTATACAGTGTATTCAAAGTGTATACAGTGTGTATAAAGTGTGTATTAGTACCTTTACTCAGGGCCACAGTAGAGTTCTCAGTATCGATGATTATATAGTATGTATATAGTGTGTATACAGTGTATTTAAAGTGTATACAGTGTGTATAAAGTGTGTATTAGTACCTTTACTCAGGGCCACAGTAGAGTTCTCAGTATCGATGGTTATATAGTATGTATATAGTGTGTATACAGTGTATTCAAAGTGTATACAGTGTGTATAAAGTGTGTATTAGTACCTTTACTCAGGGCCACAGTAGAGTTCTCAGTATCGATGGTGTAAAGCACACCTTCATACCGGTTTCCGGCCTTGGAGATCAGGCTGATCTTGCTGCCCAGGTACGGCGTCCCCATGGCAACGGTTAGTAACGGTTAGTAACGGTGCTGTTTGTTTGTTTGTTTGTTTTGTTTTCCAGCTTCAGCTACAACAACAACATGGCGACCCCATCCTCCATGGCTGTGTGAGCGCGAAGACTCACGGGAACATCGTATTCTCGCGCGATCCACCGTGAGATCCAGATCTGCGCGAGATAGAAAAGCAAACAGTGTGTTCAGAATCAACATTCAGAGAAGCACTCAGATCTCAGAAGGAAAAGTAGTGATTGTTCAGATTGATCCTCTTCAGAATAATATATATGATATGTTTTATAATGATTGATCATTAAAGTGTCCTCAAAGCTGGTAAAGGTGCAGCTAGTTTGAATGACTTTGTATACTGCAGGGTAGCTTGTGGATTTACTCCAGGTGGAACTAAAGTCTGATTTAACACTTGATTATATTTCACATCATTCATCCACATCTGTGAAGTAACTAAAGGGATTAAATACATGTAGTGGAGTAGAAGTACACCATGTACCTCTGAACTGTAGTGGAGTAGAAGTACACAGTAGAAGTACATTCTAGTTCTTCTAGCTCTATGCTCTGAAACCGCTCGGATCCTCCGCGCATGCGTACATTCTAAAATACGATTTGCACAACGGCGGAGCATCAAAGATGGCGGGAGCCTCCGACCCGCTGGAGGACATGCTGCTGAGAGATCTGGACGAGAGGGCCGTGCGGGACCTGGTGGGGAGTCTGGAGGACCAGCTGGGGGACCGGGGGGACCTGGGGGACCGGGGGGACCGGGGGGACCGGGGGGACCGGGGGGAGGACACCTCCACCGGGAGTCTCTCCACCGGGAGTCTCGGGGCTCCTCTCTCGGCTGTGGAGCATCTTAAAGTCCCCTCTCCTTCTTCTTCTACCTCCGGAGCATCAGGTCTACAAACAGCTGCTGGAGCCCCTGCCGGACCTGAACCCCCGACCTCCTCCTCCTCTCAGGGGCCACAGAGTCTAAACTCCGGGACGCTGGTGAACTCGGTGACCCCTCAAACTGGGACTAGCACCGGGATCAGTACCGCACACAACGGAGTGGAGCCCAAGCTGGGGTCCCTGAGCTCCCCCCAGGTGACCCAAAGCTCCCCCCAGGTGACTCACAGCGCCCCCCAGGTGACTCACAGCGCCCCCCAGCTGACCCAGGTAACCCACAGCGCCCCCCAGGTGACTCACAGCGCCCCCCAGCTGACCCAGGTAACCCACAGTGCACCACAGGTGACCCACAGCGCCCCCCAGGTGACTCAGGTGACCCACTGCGCCCCCCAGGTGACCCACAGCGCCCCCCAGGTGACCCACAGCGCCCCCCAGGTGACTCAGATGACCCACATCGTCCCCCAGGTGACCCACAGCGCCCCCCAAGTAACCCAGGTGACCAACAGCGCCCCCCAGGTGACCCACAGCACCCCCCAGGTGCAAAACAAGATGCCCGTGACTGGGGGCTCTGTGATCCTGGCGCCCCCTCCCCCAGCGATGGCCTTGAAGCCGGCTATGAACGGGGTGGCAGTGGTGAGGCCCCCGGGAGCCGCCATGATGGTGAGGCCCCCGGGGACCCCCGTGATGGTGAGGCCCCCAGGGAACCCCGTGGTGACGGTGGCCCCCTCCCTCCAGCAGCAGAGGCCCGGGCTGGTGGCCCCCGGCAGAGCGACGGCCCCCCAGCTGGCTGTGAGGCCCCAGCAGCAGCAGACCACCATCCAGCTGCCCCCAGGGTTCAGCATGCCCCCTGGTGAGGAACACACACACACACACATATGGAAAGCCCAATGTGCCATAATACGCATACATAGTTTTGCGCGAATATACGGGAAGGTCCGTATATTCGCGCGAAACTACGCGCGAAAGTTTGCGCGTATTTTCGCGCGGTTTTTAATATGATAATGAGCCCCTCCTTCTGATTTCCTTAGCCAATGAGTTCAAAGTGTCTTCAACCAATCAGTGAGGGGTAAAGCCAGACCAAAGCAATCTGTAGATGAAAAGTTCCTGACATTGAGAGGCTGTGCTGTAAATTGTACATTATTCCAGATTCAGGGGACTAAGTATGAATTTGCCTTTGAATATAATAAATATATCACCTTCATTGTCTTTTAAAATAAAACCACATTACCCTTTTCCTTAACCCTCTGGAGTGTGAAGTGAAGGGTATTTTCTCAATGTTTAGATGTCTCCTTAAATCAACTTTTAAATGTAGTTCTTATAACATGGCATGGTGTTACATGTCAACATGTTCAGTACAGTCTCTGGTCTTGCTAGAAATGCAAAGTCACTCACCTTAGAGCACTGTCTTATGAGATACTAAGCTTAGAAATACGATTTTTGGAAAACTTCAAAACTGTTGTGAAACAATGACTCATGTCATCCTTTTTTTTGGTGTTTCAGATTTGGTTCACCAAAGTAGTGAAATCTATGAATTACACTATAGGCCTATATAAATGTGTTATTCATGTCTAAAATGAAAATGTGTAAATTAGAATTTGGAGTAAGTAAAATAGTTCCATCCCTCTACTTTCACCACAGAGAAGTTACATCAGGACTGATTCATGACTTTATATTCCAGACTGAGGTTCATGTGATGTGTACAAATACAAATTGAGCATTACAACTTTTTTTTTCAACCAACTATTTATGTTAACATAAGAAACTGTAAAATTTCAATATTTACAATATCAGAACTTTCTCAACCAACTATTCATTATACATGTAAAGACAGGGGGAGCAGTGTCATGGTCTTTGTCCGTCTTCCAAGACAGTGGGTCTGGCTGCTGTGCAGGTGGGGGTGATGGTGCATGGGCTGCTGGTGGCTGTGTGTGTCGGAGGGAGGTAGGTGGGATTGTCCCGGGTTGATGCTGGTGGCTGTGTCGGAGGGAGGTAGGTGGGATTGTCCCGGGTTGATGCTGGTGGCTGTGTTGGAGGGAGGTAGGTGGGATTGTCCCGGGTTGATGCTGGTGGCTGTGTCGGAGGGAGGTAGGTGGGATTGTCCCGGGTTGATGCTGGTGGCTGTGTGGGAGGTATGTGTGCTAGGCGAGACTTCTTTGCTGGCTGGGTTGATGGTGATGGCTGTGGTGGAGGCCTTTGTACCGAGGGGTATCTTAATCTTGTGGCAGTCACAGATGGAGGTGGAGGCTGCTGTAGTGATGCTGGTCCTCTGGTCCTTGGTGGTGATGGCTGTGGTGGAGGTCTTTGAGCCACGGTAGATCTTGACCTGGGGGCCGGCACAGATGAAGGTTCTGGCTGCTGGATAAACACCGCCTGTGGGCCACTAGGCCCAGGCAGCTGTGAAATCTGAAAAAAAACATACCTTTTACATTTAGCAAATCAAAATAACTGTATGACGTATTTGTCTCTAATCAAAAATGGAAATAAATTCACATGCCATATTATGACTTTTATGAAGGATTAAAGCCTTCTTAATTTACAGTATATAATACAGTGATAACACACACAACCCGATTGACTGTACTCCCTTTAACCTGGCTCTGGTGTACACTGATAGGCACAATATTAGCATAGCATTAGCGCTATTAGCATTTCAATACTATGAACAATTATGAACTCAGACCAGCATTACACATATTTATACAAGCAGAATACACTTGAAATGTAAGCCAAACTAGTGCACGGGAGTCATACACCTAGTAACATAGTAGTTTGAGTCCTACATTATTCAGGGAGCGATAGCCTGTGCTAAAGAAGCTAGCGGACGCCATTAGCCACTGTAGTGGAGCCGAACTAGCTGACAGAATGACATTAAACTATACATAAAACAGTTTCAAACGCACTTCTTAGATCGAAATATGACACAATCTTTGTACACGCTACTAACCTGTTGAACAGGAGAAATGAATGAAGCAGAGGGAACATTGCTGCCTTTCTAGCCAGAATGCCAAGTCTGCGGCAGACACATAATAACAACACTTTACGGCGCACTGAGGCCTTTCCGTGTCCTATACTGTTTGTAATGATATACACTATTTAACTCTCAGTTTTTACTCAGCCCCCCGGCATGTGTTCCCGACAGGTGAGCCGGCAGTGATAAAAAGCATCACACCAAGCTGTCCCTCGTTGATGATGTTAATAATAAGAATAACAATAATAGGACCAGTAGAACTGGTGGATAGACCACGCTATAGAGCAGGGCACCTTGAACATCTGGATCCGTAGTCTCCGATGAAATTGACCACCTCTTTGTCCTCGGTATGGACTCTGAAGCATCTCCAAGGACACGCATCGTGTTTCTTTTCATCCGTTCATTCATTTCAGAAATTCTAAAGGCTCCTTATTATCTCCAAAAATGCTATTACATTGGTAAACAAATAAGCATATACAAACAGCTAGCGCAGTTTCTTTGATAGAGACTAAGATAGTTGCTCAGCAAAAAAAAGTTGTAATGCTCAATTTGTATTTGTACACATCACATGAACCTCAGTCTGGAATATGAAGTCATGAATCAGTCCTGATGTCACTTCTCTGTGGTGAAAGTAGAGGGATGGAACTATTTTACTTACTCCAAATTCTAATTTACACATTTTCATTTTAGACATGAATAACACATTTATATAGGCCTATAGTGTAATTCATAGATTTCACTACTTTGGTGAACCAAATCTGAAACACCAAAACAAAAGGATGACATGAGTCATTGTTTCACAACAGTTTTGAAGTTTTCCAAAAATCGTATTTCTAAGCTTAGTATCTCATAAGACAGTGCTCTAAGGTGAGTGACTTTGCATTTCCACACACACACACACACACGCACACGCACACACACTGTGTGAGAGAAAGTGTGTGTGTGTGTGAGAGAGAGTGTGTGAG